CACGCTGTATAAGTTGAGTAAACTCGTCACTTTTTGCCTTACCCTGTCGAGTGGTATGTCCTTTGCATTATGTACTTTCAAGTCTATCACCAAGGTATTCGAATTGGCTAAGACACCTTTAGCTTTGAAAGTGTCCGGGAAATCTCCCCGGTATCTACCAGATACATTTATCGGACCGTCAGAGGAAAGGTCTGGAACGTGGGAAGGGAACACCTGCCACAGAAATTGCTGGCAAAATCAGAGATCATGCACAATTTACAGCACACATTTTCATTAATATAAACCAGCAGGACAGATGGAATCAATTAGAAGATGTAGCTTACATTCACACGAACGAAGACAAAAAATTTACATGTGATATAAAGCCAGCATTATGCGGTGAAAAATAAACAATTTGAACAAAACTTGAATCATAAACAGGACAAGAATACCTCAAGATCATCGAGGTTATCCAATGAGTCAAAGGTTATATCCGAAAGAATCACAGATGAAGCTTTGAAAAATAGTTTCTCTAACCGAGCTTCCACCAAATCTGTACCATTGAGAAAGCTATCAGATCAATGACAAAAGTCAGGCAGAAAGCAACTACATCCTAACTTTACTCAACATGCTTATCATCAAAGAACCGCAAACTCATTTTAAGAATCATTAGTTCCTTCGCTAACTTCAGAAGCTCTCAAGTTTTGCAGCATGAGCGTAGAGAAAAGATTCTTGTAGAAACACAGAAATGTCAAAACTGACCTACGTCGTAGGCAGCATCATAATGCCCCCTGCTGATCATAGCAAGCATCCGCAAGAAATAGTGGTTGCAGAATACACCTAGCACAAATAAAGATGACGAGTTATCCACAAGGAATACGACGTTAAATTTGATCCACTTAACCACGAAACCTATATAAGCGAATGGCGACGTCTAATTAAAAAATGATAAGCGAAATGAAAGTTTGTGAAGAGACTCTAAAATGGTCGGAAATAAGCGCTTGTTATTCTGAAGATCTATTCTAAGCAGTCTTGAGATTATAATCACAAACTACGAGCCCGACTTTTACTGGAAAATGATTCTTGATGATTACCTATTCCAAAAGTGTATATACGCGGACATTTTGATCCCCTGTCTTTTAGATGAGTTCTCATCACATCACATATTTGTCTCTCGTCTTCAACAGCCCCATCAGTAACAAGGAAAATGATAGGAGTTGAACTCCGAGCATTAGATAGCATTTCTATTGCCTATAATAAAGAAAAGAAGAAGTGAATTATATGAATCCAAGGTGATGTCATTGGATGCAGAAAAAAATGTTTCCCATAGAAATGAATAGTAATGAGAAAATACCTGATTTAGTGGAAGCAAAATATTTGTTCCACCACCGGCAACAAAATTCATGTTCATCCATTCAGTGGCCCTTTCGACTGCCTCTTTGGCAGCTAATTCCATCGATGTCGAGAACAGATAAGTCTCTCCATTAAAAGCTATAATGCTAAATGAATCCTCGGGATCAAGCTTGGAAAGAGCTGCAGATAGTACATTCCTAGTATCATCAAGTGGCTTCCCCCGC